GGTCACATAGCTGCAAAATGGTGAGCCAGGAATCAGAGCCAGGTTTCAAAACCAAGGTGAGCCTGTTACCAAACCTGAGCACTTTCCCCCAAGCCAACTCAAATCAGTGTGACAGATGCGTGGTACAGTCAGTTATTTGTTTAGCTAGTTGAGGAGGGTTTTCATACTTTGAACTCCTCGAAGTAGTTTTGGAGAAAAAAAAATTGGTCTTTTCCTCTTCTACACAGGCTCTTTTTCAGCAAATACTATGCAGCATCCATTATAAGCTTTTCTATTACTTTACTTACGACTAAGAAGAAAAAACGCTAATTAAGCTGTGACACACCACTAACTATCAGATGCATCTCAGTTTCAGAGATATCAGAATGTGAAAAATTTGTGTCTTAGAGTCAGTTAAATGAGGTATTCCATTTTAATAACGGGGAATGTGCGTACAGAACCTCTCTCGTTTACTCACTTGCTGGCTGGTTTGCCCCTTCCTTTTCACTGCCAAAAGCTTACCTGTCCCTTTCATATCTCATTTCTCCACGTCATCATGAACCTGTTGATAATAATTTAGACTGTCTACCATGAGTCTCCAGAAAGCCTTGCACTTGTAGGAAGGTTCCAGTCTAAGATTTTTTTTTTTTTTAATTAAAAAACTATACTATAAGCTCTAAGTATGAACTTCCTCCAATGACTGTCAACAAATTCTTTCCAGAGTCTGGCCTAACTCTGGTCTTCCCATAGTACCTGCTGATTCACTGCCCTCCCTCTTCACCATTCCGCACAGTAGTTGGTTGCTTAGTCTGTATACTATTTATTTGCAAGGGATTTCCCTACAGGCTGTTGGAGGGGTCATGGGAGGGGGCTTGCCAGCAGAAGCTGAAGCATGTCATCCAGGTCTCCCTAACACAGGAAACATGACTCCCAAGGCATCTCCTGAAATGCCAGGGCCTTCCCTTTCTCCATTCCAGGAGTCCACAGGATTGGGGAAAGATTCCACTTCTCCACTCCTCTTAGATATTATTTCTCCTCCCTGGTTTGAGACTCCGTGAGAGGAATGGTGATGGGGTGGTGGAATCTGGTACTGCAAGGGTGACAGGGACTTGAGCAGCGGCCCACTGTTGGGCTGGATTTCAGGCTCCTGACAGCAGCAGCGACTGGCTTTTCTGAGTTGCTGTTTTGCTTCCACCTTTTGAGTGCAGGGTGGTAAAGGAGGCATTGATGCTGGCTTTCCATTTCCTAGCATTAGAACAGGGACAGACCCATCCAGGAAAAGCATTTCCCTGTCCTCTTCCCTTCAAGCTGATTTTTGAGGTCAGAATCTGGAAAGGGACAGAGAGGACACAGGTGGAGGGAGGGATGCAGCCCATGCTAAGCAGTAAAGGACCACTCTGGGGATCCTTATTGATGAGGATTCTGCAGCCTTTGCAGATAGGTGGGCAGGCCTGTTCCTGCCCCAGGATTCTGGGCATGTGACAGGCCGGGAGCCTGGGGCACAGGCTGGGAGCCTGGGGCACAGGCTGGGGTCCACATGGGTCTGTCTGCCAGTGGAAAGCCTGGGTCCTGTGGGAGGTACAGACAGACAGAGAGAAACAGAGGTAAGTGGAGACAGAGAGCTCAGAGGCTGGGCAGGGAGGTCTGGGCGCTGAGCAGGCCTCTCTTTCTGAGGCAGGAAGGACTGGGTGGCTTGGAGCAGGACGCTCCCCAGTCTCCACTTCCTAGCCTAGGGCAAGCATTGGGCTTCCTCTTCAGCTCTCCAGGATCTCAAGGAGCTGCCGCGGAATCCTGGCCCTGGGCCGCAGTTTCCCCAGGAGGCTCTGCCAAGCCTGGCACCTTGCAGCCCGGCCTGGGCTCTGTCAAGGCCCGAACCGGACTCGGCTCCAACTCAGAGGCCGGCCCAGCACTTCCCTGCCGCCGCCGCCCCGCACCCGGCCACCGGGCTTCCTCCCTGTCCTCACCCCTGACCTCCGCGGCCGACTTCGAGGCGCTCCAGGCCGGGTCCAGCGCCCGCGGCCCCCTGGGCCAGGACAAGGAGGGCGGATGAGCAGAGGGGCTGTACCCAGGACCTGAAGGTGCGAGGCCGCGTGGTGGGCATGGTCGGGAAGCCGAGCGTGGGCCTGTGAGGCGCGTGTGCGCCTGCGACCTCCGGACCGGGGCTCCCAAATGAACGGCGCGCACGGCTGGGAGCGGGGCTCTGCGGGCGGGGAGCCCGCAGCCGGGGGTCCGTGGAGGCCGCTGCCTGGAAGCGGGCGCCGGCAGCGGGTAGCCAGGCCTGGTCGTGGGGCGCCCTAGTCTTCGGGCACGGCGGGGCCGGGCGAGCCCTCCTGGTTGTCGAGCCTCGGCTGAGCCGGGCTGCTCGCCCTTGCTTCCCGCCTCTCTAATCTAAACCATGCGGGGCTCCCAGCCCCTACCCGGCTCGCGGGGCCCGAGGGCCAAGAGGAGGGCACTGGGCCGCGCAGTGGAGGAGCCGGCTGCTCGCGTGGGGCTCGGGGTCCTGGGGACCGCGACGCCGGGGAACCCTGGAGCCCCCCTCCCTGGGGGACAGCGGGCGCGAACTGATTGACAGCGGCGACGTCAGCGCGGAGGGGGGGCGGCCCCAGAGGGAGGGAGGGAGGGGGAGGGAGCTGAGGCCCCAAAGTGCAGCCTTGGAGATCAAGGGCCCGCTCCAGAGCCGGGATGTGTCCAGCCCCGAGGGCACGGCGGGCAGCTGGACCCTGACCCAGTGGCGCGGAGTCGGAGCCCCGGCCGTCCCGCGCTCCTCGGACCCGAACCTGCAGGGGACCTCGGGCCGCTGGCGCCTCCGCATGCGGCACCGCAATTAGGGTGAGTGTTGGTTCCAGCCGAGTGGGGACCAGCTGGGCGTGCGGGGCTGGCGCCACAGGGGCTCAGGGTTAGGCTGCGGGGTCGGACAGGAGGAGAAGCTGGAAAGGGGCGAGTCTCGCGACCCAGAGAAGAACTTCAGGGGCGGTCAAAGTTGCAGAAAGGCGGCGCGAAGTGCCTTGGGTCGGGCCGCCGCCTCGGCCAGACACCCAGTTGTTGGGGCACGAGCCGTTCTCTCTGTGTAACGCGACGAATTGGGTCTAGGGACCCAAGAGCATGGAAATATCGATAGCGCCAGCACCCTAAGAACAAGGCCGTGACAGGCGGAGCGGTGGCCTGGAAATTGGTGTTTGCAGAATATGCAAGGCCAAGGAAGAGGGCCCCGTACTGAAGCGAAAATTCATGTAGAAATGTGAGCGATCAGAACACTGGACTCAGAGCCTTTGATGCAAGACTAGTCAAAATTAAAACAAGGAACATTATATATAAATAATGATCGATGATTAAAGATTATTAGAATGTGAATAATTACCAAAGAAAGGGCTAATCGGCATAACTGATATAACACGTGAACTTTCAAATAATACAATCGTAGTAACTTTCAGAGTCAAGCTGAATCAAGTGAAAATAGTAATCACGATTTTTAAAAAGATTAAAGCAAAGTAATTTTAAATGGAGGAACAATGTAAGGACTGTTGTATTAAAGCCAATTGCACTAATATAACGTATAGTAATAGTGTAACAAATTACTGAACTGTTGGAAACTAGGAAACGAACTGTAGGAGAAAGATGAACAATGAAAATACTATTAAGGGAAATATTATTAGTGGTAGTGATATAATAATATAATGTATTATTGATTAGCGAACTATTAAAACATATTAACTAAAATCTTAGGAGCAATAGTAATGTAAATAAAGACACATTAACAAGAATTGCTGGAGTAATATGACAATTTATGACCAATGTATTAATAGTCACAAGAACATTATAAATAATGGTTGAGTAATAAGAAGTATTGTACCAATGTGATGAAAAATAATCAGAGTATTAAGAGCTACAGCAATATTACAAAGTATGACAAAACAGCAAGAAGTAATGATGTGATGAAAAATAACTAGCGAGTTAAGATCTGTAACATTACAAATAATGACAAAGTAACAAGATACTGTCAGGGTGTGTTGAAGAATAATACCTGGAGTGTTATGAGCAAGCCTAACAAAACAAATTGTGGTTAGATAACAAGAAGTATTATAAGGATGTGAAGAAAATTAACATGAATTTTCAGAACAGTTATATGACAAGTTATGGTAAACAAGAAGTTATTGAAATAGCGTGGCAAAGTATAAACAAAATGAAGAGCAAGCAACGGAAACGTATTAGGGATATAAAGCAAAAATTAAAAAATGATAATAGATTAACATGACCTATTATACACTATGTCAACTAGATATTGGTAATAGTATTATGAATGTGCCAGGCGACCCTGAAATGTGTCAGGAAAACAACAAATTTAGTAACAGTAAGCTAACGAATCAAACCAGGACTTTAACCATACAGTATTAAAGATACAAAGGAGTAATAATCCACGCGATAGGATATTCTCAAAGTTCCAAAATACTACTGACCAAAATACTACTCTTATAATAAGGAGAACTAAAATATTAAAAAACAGTACGAAATATTAACAATTCCCCTAGTGCAAGAAACATACCCCCAGTAACCTAAAAGTGAAAAGAAAAATGCTGTCGTCTTTGGAAAACGAGGCTACTGAAAGCAACAGACCCCATCGCAAAGGGAGCGGAGGCTGCGGCGCGGAGGAGTGGATGTGAAAGACCAGCGCGGACCGCTACCCGTGGCTGAGTGCGGGACCCCGCGGTGTGGGCGGCCGAGCGCGCCCAAGCTCGAGGTCCGAGAGGACCGCGGGGACGGCCGCCCCGGGCCAGCCGGGTGGGGAAAAAAGGAAATTGGTGGGAAGGGGGCAAGCTGTCGCGAGGTCGGGATGTGGCTTCGTGGCGGAGAGAAAAGGAAGAGGCAAACCCTGGGCCTCGGAAGGAGAACACCGCGCAGGCCTCGTGCCCAGTCCGAGCTGTGGGGCCCGCGTCAGTGGACGCGGGCCGTGAACCAGCTCCTCACCCGGCAGGACTGAGAGCGTAGGACTGAGAGCGCAGGGCGCGAGCCGCAGGGCTCCGCTGCACGGCTCCGGGTGTGAGAGAGCCCAGCAGAGGACCCCTTGGCCATGCGGGCCAAGCGCGAGACGGCCCCTCCTTGCGACCCCGCAGGCCGCCACATCTGGGACCAGCCGATCGCTCGGTCGCTGGCGCCGATCCCGCCGGGGTCCTAGATATAGTTGGACCCAGCGCGCTGGCCAGAGTGGGCAGCTACCCTATTGGGGCAGCGTCCCCCTTTGTGGGGACTCCTGGGTTTCCGAGGCTCGGCCCCGCGTTCGCACGTGGCCCGAGGCGGGTACTGGCGCTGGCCATGTCCAGCAAGTCTCACTCTCTGCGGGTTGTGGCCGAAGACCGGCCCGCCTGTCAGACTTATCTTTATGGGTTTTTCCCAACCCGGAGTGGCCCCGGCCCCTTTTTATCTCCTCGGTTGCACTTGGCTTGTTTACTTTGCGAGGCCCTGGGAGTCGAAGTCTGAGCCCGGGATGAGGAGGCCTCTGAACAGGATGGGCGAGAGGCCTGAGCCCGGGGATGCTCCAGGAGGGCCCCGGGAGAACGGGAAGAAGGTAGGAAGAGAAAGGCGGAGCATTCCACCTCAAGAGGGGCCGCCAGACCTACAGAGAGCCCCGCTGGAGCGCCCAGGTCCAGTAGGATGGGGAAGAGCAGGGAGGTGGAAAGGCGAAGCGGGGCAAGCCGGGCACACCCCTAAGGGATGCTTCGGGCAGGGAGCAGCCATCTGCCTAGGCGAGAGAATCAGCCAAGACACCCGAAGAAATGTAGCTGTGCCAGGCAGGTCTAAGAGATTCCTGTGAATGGGCCCAGCCTACTGGCCTGGTCCTTCGCTGGGAAGGGTGTGGGTCTTTAGGCCCAAAGCAGAGCCCTGTGGCGCTAAAGTGTGCCTAAGTGAGCCTGTGAATTTGAACCCGAGCGCCAGGCAGGGGAGGCCTGGGCGGAGGGCAGAACCTGATCAGTCACCCAGGAGAGTGTGGCTGCTCAGGCGGGTGGGATGCTGTGTGAGGGGCTGTGTTTCGGTGTGAGCATGTCTGTGCCAGAATGGGAAGAGGATGTGTGTGGACGGGGACTGTGTTGGAGTGAAAGCCTTTGGTTCAGGAAGTCTCTACCTCAGTGCTGTCTGAGGGGTTGGGTGAGGGCAGATGGGTGAGCTGGGCCTGAGGGCCCGAGGACCTCTCTGCACACAGGTGTGGAGCTGCAGGAGCCTGGGCCCTACCTTCCAGCCTGGCTCTCCTTTCCTGCATGGCCAGGAAGTGTCCTGGTTGTCCCGGGCCCACAGAGAGGCCTGGACCCCAGTTATTGGGGAACAACCGAGAAGACCCAGGCCTCAGGCTCCACTGGAGCCCAGTAGGAGGGAGGGACTGGGGTGCAGCTGTGGCAATGCTGAGAGGGCGGTCCCTCCGCTAGACCTACTCATCACAGAACCCCACACCCAGGGGCAGGCAGACCCTCCCAGGTCCACAGCCTGAAGGGAGGAGGCGAGGGACCTGCCCTCCTTGCGGGCTCCCTCCTCCAGCTCAGGAGGGGGCGGGGTCCACGTGCTCCAGGGCGGCCTCCGCGCCCCGCACGAAGTCCCGGGATCGGCTGGAGAGGGCTGCGGGGCCTCTGGCGAGTGTGGACCTGGGCGAGTGATTCGTTGTGTGCTGTGCCCGCAGGAGATGCTGCAGGATAAGGGCCTGTCCGAGAGCGAGGAGGCCTTCCGGGCCCCGGGCCCAGCGCTCGGCGAGGCCAGCGCAGCCAACGCCCCCGAGCCCGCGCTGGCAGCGCCCGGCCTCAGCGGAGCCGCGCTAGGCAGCACCCCTGGCACGGGGGCCGACGTCGCCGCCGCCGCCGCGGAGCAGGTAGGGCTGCGCCAGCCGTCGGGTAGAAGTCGGGCGTCGGTCTGTCTGCGGGGTCGCCTGTGTCCGTCATTCCGTCCGATCGTCGACAGGACTCGCTTTCAGGGGGACCTGGCTACGTTCAGGACGGTCTGCCTGTTAGTTCTCCACTGAGCAGGGCTCGCTTTATCAGCCTTCTGGGTCCTTCTCCACTTTGAGCCCTCGGGGTTACTGTGGGACAAGCAAGAGTTAGAGCTAGAGATAGAGGAGAGGGGCAGTAAGAACGAAGGAGACCCCCGGAGCATCGGAGCGAGCCTTGACCAAGTGTCCAGCTCCAACAACCCGTAGAGGGCCTGGGACCGAACGGCGGGCAAGAGAAGGCGACCCCGCCGGTGCGCAAGGGAGCCGCTGCGGGGCTCCAAGGCCCCTGGGACGTCGTCGAGGGCTTCACAGTGATAATCGAAGGATCACAGCGCGCGGGATGCCGCCTGGGGATCTGTGTGCACTATCTGCAGGCGCGCACCTGGCCGAGGGTGCGTGCGCCTCTCCCTGTCTGTGTCTGCCCGGGGAGCCTGTGGTGATGGCCCGCCACGGAAATGTTCATGAGTGTGCAAGAGTGTCGTCTAACCTGCGCTGGCCACTATGTGTGTCCTCTGCGGATTCCTCCGTAGGTGCAGCTTCAAAGGAGGGAGTTTTAGCCACCGATTAATTCTTTTAAATTCACGAATAGTTCAAAATCATTCTGTGAAACGAAATCTGGAGCCGTGGGCTCTGGGCAGGCAGGGTTCCGCACAGCTCTTCGGGTCTGGTTCATCTTTCCTCAGGCTCCGCGTGGAGCCCTGGGCCAGGCAGACACAAGTTTCTCTCCCTCCCATCCCCAGACCATCGAGAACATCAAGGTGGGGCTGCATGAGAAGGAGCTCTGGAAGAAGTTCCACGAGGCCGGCACCGAGATGATCATCACCAAGGCGGGCAGGTCAGCGCTGCGAGATTTACTTCCGGGGATGGCGGTGGGGAGCAATGGGGACCAGGGGGGTCCCTTAGAAGTCCTCTCGGCCCCAGCCTGGTGGCCTGCGGGAGTCCTCTCTGCCTCCTCCAGCCTCAGTGCCACCTCCCTCCGCAGCTTGGGACTGGGCCGCCAAAGCCCGCAGGGGGCCACCGCAGCCGCCCGGGGCTTGCGGGAAAGACCGAGGGGGAGGGGCAGCGCTATGCAAATGAATCCAAACAGGGATTGCGACGCCCAGAGTCCCAGCTCCAGCACTTTTGGCCCCCTGGGGGGCTACTCTGCTCTCCTTTCTTTGAGGACCTGAGGAGGTTTCTCAGGAATGCATTGATTGCGGACCCAGAGATGCCTCTCAGCAGATGGGGAGAGGGAACTAGACTATGCCCTTCGGTTTTCATACATTTTCGTGAGTGACTCGAACCCCAAGTCTCTCATCCCAGGGGCACCGCTCTTCTGTTTCCATCCCCATCTCAGGCCAACGGGAAAGCACCACGTTGGGTTCCCTGTGTGTTGGGGGAGCGGCTCTCGGTGGCTGCCAGAAAAGGATGATTTATAAAGTGGAAACATCTTTAAAATGCGCTGGTGTCTGTGGGAGAGAACAGGGAGGAGAGGATGAGAGGAGGAAGACTCACTGGGGGATGAGTGAGAGATTCACTGGGGCTGGTGGGGAGGGGGCAGGAGTGTGGAGGAGAGCGGTTATCAGGTGAAGGCGGATTGCTGTAGACAGAGACGCTGGCAAGTTCAGGTTCAGGAACTCCCTCCCCACCCACTCTGTCCCCTTCACATACACACACTTGATTTCGGTCCCTGGGGACAGAGTAGGTGTGAAAATGTCCCTTTGCCTGATGTGTCTCATAATTGAGATTTTGAAGGAATAAGATGATGAAATCTCGAGTGCCAGGAATTGGGAGTCAGAACACAGTGGGTGAGGGATCCAGTTCCAACTCAGCTACTTTCATCTGTGCAACCTCAGACAAGGTACTTAAGGGTCTCTGCTTAAGCACCCTCCCCACTGCATCTGTAGAAGAACAGGTCTTGCCTCATACATTGTATGGAAAGCACTGAGTTCCTGACACATGCAAGCACACAAGAAGTGCTAGTGAATAACATTAGCAATAATTAGAGAAGTGTCTGGCGTCCCACTCAGTATTTTCTTCTACTTTTTAGAGAACTCAGCTCTGCTGAACCGCTTAGGGAATGATAGACTATTCAAAGGAAACAAAAAGTCGGTTGGTTTGCTGTGTGTAGTGTGTGGGGTGCTGTGGTCCTTCCTGTCTCTGCTCACTGGCAGGCCTTATAAAATTTCCTTTATTTTGTTGAGGGTGGAGGTCTGGGCACTTTGCCACCCTCAGGTCTTAGCCAGGGAGGTGGCATCACCACTCAGGGCCTCTATCAGGGAGAAAGTAGGTTTATTTTAGGGCCTGAGCTTGCTGCATTTTGGGGATGGAGATAGGGAAGGAAGACTCATGAAGGGGCTGGCAGAGGTGCCACATGGAGTAGGCAATGAGGACAGTGGAATCCAGGTGTCACAAGCCCTGCCTCTTTCTGGCTGAGTGCACTTGGGCAAGTCACAGTCTCCTTGTAGCTCAGTGGTGTCAGGGAAATGGTGACCGTAGACCTATCTGCTGTCCTTTCCTTTTCTATCACTGTGAGACTCAAACCAGGGAATCACATGGATGATGGTTGGTAAACGGGTAATCCACTTGATCAAGTGTGAAGGGGAATGGGGCTATTCCTTGTGCCTGCTGGTGTGGAAAGAAGGTAACAAAGAGAAAGGTTCAGAACTTCCATTTTTAGGCAGCAGAAATAACCTTGTCTCTTGAAAATAACTGGTCAGCATGTTCTCCGGGCATGTCTGGCCTCTGGCATTTTAAACAAAAGGCATTTTATGGTTTTCCTCAGTGGTGTTTCCTGCATCTGCATAGGTCCTCCTCCTCCCTCTCCCAACACATACACTTATACATACACTTCCAGAGGTGGCCAGCTTCGGGTAGATGTTTGTGCTTGATCCTAGTTGAGGCTTAGAGATGGACCTTAGGGAATTATGATAATATTTTTAAAATGGCTGTGATGATGTTGGCCAATTATGGATCCATCACAGCCTTTCACTTCTCTGGCAGAAACTTATCCTTGCATTGGGTCTGGTTCTTAAGAAAATCACTAGTCTCATGCCCCCAACCCCTCACCCCTCACAGACCCCATTTCCTCCTTCATAGCTGCCCCCTCCTTCAGCAACCACTGTATTGCTCTGATTTACTCTGATTTACTTTACTGAGCTGTGGTTCTTCAACTTCCTGTCCAGTGCCTCTCCCCGCTCCCCAAATTCTGTGTGCCTCTACTGGAACCCTTCTTGGTACACTTCCATTTGTCAGTCTGGGCCTTGCTGCTAAACCTGGAATCATAGCTTCCTAGATGGCTAGAGCTGGAGGAGAACCAAGAGAACATACACCAAACTCCAGAGAAGGGAAGTGAGGCAGTTACCAGGTCTACACAGGGAAACAGATGAGGCACCCCACCCCCAGAACACAACCCCTACTTTGATAAGTTCCCTTGATTGCTTTTTTACGGGGTCCTATTCAGTGTGGATTGTGGCTCTGCCCTAGAGACCCTGGCTGATTAGGGACATGATAACTGCCATCTGGCTGGGCAGGAGCAGGCCCTGAAGAAGGGGAGCCAGAATGCTCTCAAGCCAGGTTGAGTTCTCGGGTCATAAGTTTTCTTCCTACCTTAGCCCTTTGGGTCCTTGAGAGTCTTGAAGGTCAACAGAGAGAAGAATCCCTCTCACTGGATAGTGACTTTGAACTGCCAAACAATTTGGCCTGGTGGATAAAATGCCAACCACGGTGGGAGCCACCAGTTTCTGAATACGCAGCAACCTCCATGTCACGTGTGAAATGGGGGACACAGCCCTCCACAGCCTGTCTCAGTCTCTTGGATCTCTGTGTCCAGAGGGTTCATGCTGATAACCGCAGACAGCGGATCCCTCTCTTGGCCTCCCCACATCCCTGCCAAGCTTGATACATGTGAGAAACTGCATTTTCTCCCAAACATAGATAAAAGTGAGCTCCACAAAAAAATTCAAATATAAACCTCCCCGAAATGAAAATTGCCTAACCATCTCACTGCCCTACTCCTAGGTCATGGTTTTGCCACCAGATAAATCTCCACTATCAGCCTTCATAGCCTGTTGAGTTCAATGTTGCTTGTGTTAGTGACAGTGAATTTGCGTTTGAAAAATGAACTACCGATGAGAACTCCTGTTGAACCTGTATTGTTTGTTATTCTGAGGCAAGGATTTGGCCCGGCTTAATCCGGGGCTTCAAAGCCAATTGCCCTCACTCTGTATACAGAGCGTCAGAGCCCAGTGGCGTGGATGATAAGAGAAGTAAGGGTTGAAGACACTGGGAAAGTGGGTTGGGGAGAGAGTGCTTTGATCTCTTTTTAAAGTATTTTCTGAAAGCAAAAGTCTATCAGAAGGAAGTGCCTTAAAAAAAAATCTAAGAGAAGCAACTGATCTTCCAAAACAACATCCATTCCACACACTCTCACCCCTGCCCCTCCCTCAGGGAAAAGATTTCTTAAATATGCTTTGGGTGAATTAGAAAACTGTGTGTGTATGCCTCTGTGTATGTGTGTGTGAAATGTGGAAATCGATTTATTAGCTTCAAAATCAACTCACTTGGCTATAAAAGGCTTGGTCTCAGTGTAGGTGGCACCAGCAGCCCCACTCCTAACCCCAGCCTTGGACGCTGGGCCCTGGGCTCTGGGCTCTTCCCTGCACACCCAGGATTCCTCCTGAAGAGTGCCCGCCCCCACCCTCACATCAGGATTGGAGAAACAAAGGGTTTTCAGGGGACCCCTGCCGTTTTACTGCTGTAGGGTTCTTTTCAGACTCTGGGCTCCAAGGCGCCTGTGTATGTGTACACACATATATAATTTTTAACCTAAATGTATTGAAGTGGAACATTCCTACAGAAGAGTCCACGCGTCTTAAGGATGCAGCTTTACAGACTTGCACAAAATGAACACACTCGTGTAACCTTCATCCAGATAAAGAAATAGATCATCACCACCACTGCCCCAGAATCCTTGTGTGCCTACCCAGTCAGCGCCATCCCCACGCTTGAAACCACTCTCTAGACTTCTGACCCCTTCCGGCTGGTGTTCCCCAACATTAAGGGAGGGTCCGTGTAGCTGTTACTGGAGTCCCCAGGGACCTCCGAGAAAGTCGGGGCTGCAGAGGGGTTGGGGATTGGGGAACCCTCCAGGTGGAGAGAATCTAGGGGTATCCCGTAGTCTCTGTCCCTCTCCCCAGGAAGGGCGCTGCGAATAAGCGCCTTGAATTTGGCCACCGCTTTGGCCGGGGAGCTCCCGGGGCTCTCGGAGCGCAGCTAGAACTTGCGTGTTCCCTCTCAGCAGTGAGTTCGCAGTTATGGATTTGTTGCCAGAATAAAAAAAGCCCCGAACCCTTGCCCCGCGCCCCGCACGCCTCCAACACCGAGAAATGTCCGAGGAAGCTTATCTTAGCAGTTCATTCTAAAGCCATTTCCGAGTATGAATAGATAAAGGCTCCAGCCCCACACCCTTTCAGAGCCTGTTTCATGATCAGAGGAGAAGCCCCGGGCTTTCATCTCCTCCCGGGCCGGCGAGCAGGCGGCTTGTTTATTCCCCTGGCGGAGCCGTTTCCGCGTGTGCCGGGGGGAGCCCCCATCTGTCTGGGGGCGCGGGATCCCGACGGGGCGCGGGGAACTAGGGGAGCATGGAGACGGCGCTTGGGGCGCGGAGAGAAGGTGCCGGGCAAGTGGAAAGGGTGCCGAGGGGCTGAGAAGAGGGAGGGACAGGAGGACGGGGTGGGAGCAGGGAGAGGGTGGGGGGCGTAGAGAGAGGGTGCAGGGAGGGGAGCGGAGGAACGCGCAGGGAGAGGGCTCGCCAGGGCGGACCCAGAGGTAGAGGGCAGAGTGTCGGGGACAGGCGGGCGTCACCACCAGCGCTGGTGGCAGGGCCTGTGTGGAGACAGGCGGCACCCGCAGTGCTTTCCTTCTTGGTCACCTCCTCCACCCCAACACACAAACAGGGAGGCGTTGCTTTCCACCGTAGGGTGTTGGTTTTCAGGTACATTCTATGCCATAAATCACAGAAACAATTTACATGTCACTCCATCATTTCAAACCTTTCATTAGAGAGGCAGAGCTCATAGGAAGTCACAGCTCCCAAACCCAGCCTGGCCTCTGTCGCCTGAGGCATGACACGCTGGTGAACACCCCCAAGTCAGGCATCTAGGCACCAACTTTAGTCCCTTCAGGAACCCAAGGGCAGATGCCCATGAGGCCTTGAATTCTCCCCTCGACCTGGGCAGGAAGCCGATGGAGGGGACAGAGAGGGCCTCACCTTCACAGGCAGCCCTTCCCCAACCCTGGGTGGACCCTTCCTCCTTCTGGAGCCACCTAGGCAGGGAAATGATAGTGCTTAGGGCCCCCCACCCCACCCCAGAGTGGGTTCTGCATGGCTCAGAAGCAGTCCCCCAACTGGACCCTGCCAAGACCTAGACATCTGTTGCATTGAAGGCAATGGAACTGCCTGAGGCAGTTCAGCCCCGAGCAGAGGGCTTTTGAACTCCTCATTCAGACCAGACATCCTAGTCCCTCAGCTCCTGAGCGCTGATGCCTTAGATAGAGGGGAACTGGTGGGCAGGGGACACGAGGCTGGGAGGTACTCCCCCTTCCTGCACGGATGCCACATCTCCTTATCAGTCAGGAATCTGGCCTATGATCAGCTTCCAGGAGGGGCCAGGTCCTAAGACACCAGCTGGGGCTACAGAGAGCAGCCTCCTCAAAGGCCTTGCGGAAAGCACTCAGTCAGTGTCAGCCTGGCCTCCTGAGCTGTGGAGATGAAGCCCAGCAGGGAGAAGGAGAGGGGAAGGCCAGGGCCCCTTAGCCTCCTCTCAGCCTAGGCTATGATGCCTGCCAAAGTGGCAGAGAGCCCTTCGCTCCCAGCCCCCTGTGTGGACACTGGCCCTGGAGGGAAGCCATGGCTGCCCTCTACTGTTGCCACCTGGAATGATGACAGGAGACAAGCTGAGTGCAGGGCCCCGGTGCCAGGCCAGCCCAAGTATGGCCAGAACTGCCCCATTTTGTGGCTGTTTCTGTGGCAGTTACAAAATGGTGGCCTGGAGGGGGCAGGATTCTTGGCCTCACCCCAGGGAAGGGGGAGGTGAGGCAGCTGCTGCCCTTCCTGCTTCAGCTGTAGGCCCACCAGGAGAGAGGCAGGGCCGGGAAAGGGTGGTGCAAGCTCCAGCTGCGCCCCCAGGCCCCATAGCGGGGCTGGTAAGTGGGAGGCAGGGTTGGGTTCCTGAGCCCCTCACTTCCCCCATTCCTGGAGAGGGGGCGGGGTGGACATTTGAAAATGCTTTCAATTGACATCTGAGACAAATTCTTCCACACGGTTTATAAGTCCCTAGACTTGCAGCTAGAACTTCCCTCCTCCCTCCAGGCACGCACACATCCACACATGCGCACTCGCACACCCGCTCACATGTGCCTGGGCACACACACCCCACATCCCCACCTCCCCGCCCTGTAGTGCTTGCACAGGCCTCTCCTCCGGCAAGAGAGGGGCACAGGTGGGGCTGGGCGGGGCGTGGGCTGGCAAGGAAGTGAACCCTCTGCCTCAGTCGGGGTCCTGGCCTGGCTTAGGGCCTGCCAGCTTATAGAGTCCTTGATCCCTTCTGGAAGCCCTGTCCTGTCCAGGTAAGCTGGTGCCCCTGGTGACAAAATAGGGGCCTCTGATAATCTGTTTGTGGCATCTTGGATAGCTTCTCCAGGGTCCCATACTGTCTTGGGTTAGTAAGAGGCAGAGAACCACCTGCTGGTTGTCCCAGAGTGGACCAGCTGGGCAGTGGCACAGCTCAGTGGGGCTTAGTGTCTTCATTGTGTCTTCAGCTGAGTTTGGATCCTGTTTCTCTTGGGGAACACCTTTGTGGGAGATCAGCTGGGGGTGGGGGATGGAGTCTGAGGAGGATGGTGAGGAAGTTCCGTTCTTCCCTCTGCTGAAGTCGGGGACCTAGTGACCAGGGGAGGGAGCTGTGCCCAGCACGTTTGTGTATGCACTGTGCTGTTGTGTGTGCGTATGTGCTGAGGGGTGTGCGGAAGCCCCCTCTGGAATGTGCCCTGAACCTCAAGGCCCTGGACAGCCTCAGCATGGGCTGCAGGAAATGGCAAACTTTCTGGGTTTTGGTGAACCCATTTTCATAGAAGTAGGTCATACCACTTCTCCATTTACTTTGCTGAGGGTGCAGTGCAGCAGGGGTCTGTGGTCATTCACGCAGCAATCTATGAGATAGGTGGTAATGTTATCCTTGTTTTAGAGATAAGGAAACCAAGGCACAGAGAGGTTCAAGTAAGTTGCCTAAGGCTTGTCAATGGGGTCCAGGCTGTGACCATGGCAAGTGGTTTCAGAATCCCTGCCCTCTCTTATCCATGAGGCTCCTGGACCGACTTTCCCCTGATACTCAGGGTGCACAGGTCCGGGTGAGGTGTTCACAGGGAGAAATACCCCTGACAGATACACCGGAAGAACCCAAACCTAGCAGGGTTTTGGACGGCAGTCTCCTGTTTTCCCGCGAGCTGGTTTTAGGCCTAAAGGTTTCCACAGAGGCATGACCCAGAGGAGGCAGCCCATTATTTGTGGAAGCAGCTGATGGGGGTTTCCGGCCCCCTATAATTGCACCCCAGAACTTCAGTTGTGTCTGGGCTGGCAAAGGACAGGAGGGAAATTAAGGCAGCAAGGTTGGCGTCAGAATCTGCTCCCACAATCCCGACTGGGGTCTCTGTGCTTCAGCTGCTCACAGGCACTAGCCCCAAGTCATAGGGAATCATGGGGGAGGGGATAAGTGAATTTGGGAAATGGGTTAAACTCTCCTCCTAGACACAGACTGAGAGCTGCAGGGGCTCAGAGACAGCAGCCAGCGCCACCTTTTCCCTGTGAAGCGCAGGCAGAGGGGGAAGTGAGTTGCGCAGATCACACAGCTGTGACCAATGCTAGGATCGCTGGCCAAAAGGGCAGCACCTGTTAGTGGCCTTCTGCGCCCTTGCTCACTTTGTTCCACCTCTCCTGGTGCTCTGTCCACATGCTCCGCCTCACCCCTCGGCTCCCCCAGGAGGATGTTCCCCAGCTACAAGGTAAAAGTCACAGGCATGAACCCCAAGACCAAGTACATCTTGCTGATTGACATCGTCCCCGCCGATGACCATCGCTACAAGTTCTGTGACAACAAATGGTAAGTGGCCCCTCACCGCATGGCCCACCTTCCCTCAACTGCCCACTTGCCGCACGCCCCCACCTAGTGTTTTGTCTGGGGGATTTCTTAGCTACCTGAGTGACTGCCCAGGTCTGCAGGCTGGAGTTCACTGCCTGGAACTGGCCTTGCAGAGGCTGAGGTGGTCAGCGAATGTCTGCATGTCTGCTGCAGGTGGGGCTGGGGTTGGGCTGAAAACCAGCTGCATGTTTGGGAGTTGGTGGATTGCAAGGGTCTGTACTCTCCTTATGGCCATGGACAGTCAGGACTTGGTGACTATGCTGTCAGGTGACAGACAAATCATTAACACTGGCCAGATTTAGACTCTGTCAGTGCTTCACTGTGGGGAAGATGGGAGCAGTTCTCTTGGGGACTTTAAGAGCAGGGCCATTACCTGGTGTGTGGAGGCACTCTCCTGTTTCTTCATGTTCCCCTTGGCTTCAGGCCCCTCCAGCCATCCAGACAAAGTGAGGCTCCACCAGGGGGCTGGTGGATAGGAACCTTTGGCAAGGGGCTGGGAGACATAGAGAGGTGAAGGCACAAAACCAAAAGGGGCCAGGTAAATAAATGCTGGGCTACCTTTCATGAGGCCAACTCCTTAGTCCCTGACTGCCTGGGAGCTCAGAACAGCGCTCCAGGAGCGAGCAGCCAGCCAGGACACTGCGCTCCGTGGCAGGTGAGCCACAGAGCTGGAGAGATTGGACAGAGGAGGCAGGATTTGGTGGCCACGTCCTGGCAAGGGCCATGCTTCTGTTTCTTCTCCCTCTCTGGGCTAGAACTCAGAGCAGGCTCTGGCTGTGGGGAGAGCTACCAATGAAGTTCTTACCATTGTTTTGGGGACTAGCCATTTGAGAGTTGTCTAGGTCCTCCGAGAAGCTCCCTCTAAATAATATAATTTATAACATGTGACAATCAGAATCATACGAGGTGTGGTGGCTCATGTCTGTAATCCCAGCTACTCTGGAGGCAGAGGCAGGAGGAAGACTTGAAGGTCAGGAGTTTGAGACCAGCCTGGGCAATATAGTAAGATCCCTGTCTCCATAAAAATTTTAAAAAGTTAACTGAGCATGGGTTCCACGCCTGTAGTCACAGGTACTTGGGAGGCTGAGGCAGAAGGATTGCTTGAGCCCAGGAATTGGAGGCTGCAGGGGGCTATGATCATACCACTAGTATGGGTGACAGAGTGGGAACCTGTCTCTTAAAAAGAAAAAAAGTTTTTAAATCGTAAGTGTAAATATACACAGGTGTGCCTAAAGCTCCTCACAATATTTTTGTGATTAGCCCCAGTCCTTCAATTAAATGATCCCATTTCCCTGTAACCTCCCTTTTTTTTCTACTGCAGTAAAATCAAGGAGATTCAGAACTGCTGTCTCCTCCTCAGCATTCTCTCCTCTGTCCCTCACTCCTACTCTGGAAGTACTAATTTGACAATATGGTGGGACCAGCAGCTATTTTTTTCTCTGGTCAATGGGGGTTTGCTCCAAGAGGGGACAGGGAATCTGGCCTCACCCACCCCTGGAGTAATCGCCCGCTCTTATCTGCTCTGTTGGCAGGATGGTGGCAGGGAAGGCTGAGCCGGCCATGCCAGGAAGGCTGTATGTCCACCCGGATTCTCCTGCCACAGGGGCCCACTGGATGCGGCAGCTGGTCTCCTTCCAGAAGTTGAAGCTGACAAACAACCACCTGGACCCCTTTGGCCATGTAAGGATGGGGGCTGCCTGGCCTCGGGAGGCAAGTCTGGGGCAGTATTAGGAATGGGAAAGGCCAAGATGGGGATGGGGAGAATCCACTCCGGGATCCAGCTCCAGGCTTTGGCACTCACTGACCAGTTTAGGGAAGGAGCTCAAGCCTCTAAGGCTTGCAGAGAGCTGGACTTCCTTCCCCTCCACTTACTGGCTGGGTAACTCTGGGCAATTGTTTCAGACTTTTTGAGCCTCACTTTCCTTGTCTAGAAAATGGAGATGACCATATGTACCTTTCATGGTTGTGAGACATAAATGAGAGGGTATACAGGAAGCACTTTGCACACAGGAGGTGCTAAATAAATGGCAGCTATGATGATAAAGGTGACCGGTCAGGTCTCAGCTTCAGTTCCCCAAAATCTTCCCTTGCTGGAACATAACACAAGGGGAGTAAGCCTTTTCGAGCAACAGTCACGGATGCATTCCGAAGCCCCTCTTTGGTATGTACCATCTGCCTGGCTTGACAGCCGCCTGCTCCTGGAAGGAAAGACCTTGCTCTGGCTCCCGTGTTAGCTCCTGCTGGGTTTGGCCTGGCCCTTACAGAAGAGTTCTGAAGCCCCAGGGATGCTGCTGACGCCCCATCCAGGCTGCCCAAGCTCATTCTTTCCCCATCTGGCCCTGGCAAGTCCACAAAAAAGAGATTTTTATGTGGAAATTTTTAGCTCTAGTGTGTGGCAAACAGAAGTCTGGGGACCTGGTACTATCCGCCAGGGCACAGGCCCCACCCCTCGAGACTGCCCATGGTTACTGCGGAAGTGCAGGGCAAGGGCAGTGGAGGCTTCGAGATGCAGGTGTGGCTGCTGAGGTTGCGAGGTGTGCAGGTATGTCCCGCTTTTACGCCCCAGCTCTGAAGCATAGTTCCTATGGAAAACTCCAGCCATGTTTCTTTTCTGAGTGATGGGTATGTAACTGGCAACGAACTTCTAGTTTTAATTTCTCAGAATCTGTTCAGTTCTCTTCTGAGTCATTGGTGAGCTATAAACAAGCAGCTAGGAGAATGCTTAATTAACGCCGTCAACTCCCGACTTATCTGGTTTGTGAGTCCCTATACTGGGTTTCCCATACAGGGCGGGCAGACTTCCAGTGGGGAGGATCAGCCAAGTTCCCACCTCCCCGAGCCCCAGGGCATTTCAGCCTAGAGGCAGAGGGGCTTCCTGGGTCTCCCAGGGCACCATCCTGGTCAAGACTTTGTTCCCAGTCAACTCCTACCTAACTTCCTGTGCTTGGCCAGGCTATGGCACCAGCCTCAAAGGATAGGGAGGGTCTCTGTGTTGGGAGGCTAGGGAACCTGGCCTATGACTGCACACACACACACAGACCCCATGGAGGGCGAATACAGAGCTTGGGGGGAGCTGCATCTTTGGGTGGCCATTTGTCCCTAGGGATCCAAGCCTGGAGAGGATCTTGGATGCGCCAGCTTGTTGTCAGGGCTACCAGCTGTGGGGATGTCTCAGAGGACTCCTCTTTTCTCCAACCTCTAGAAAGTGAGAGGGGAGAGGGTTAAGGGATGGAAAACTGGGCCTTCTATAGGAAGTGGGAGAGAGTGCTCTGGCCTTCACAGCCTAGCAGTAGCTTTTCACAGCCTGGCTAACCTCTTCAGTGGCTCTCCCTGGGTCTATGAGTGGTTGGTGACAACCTGCATAGAGTCAGGGCCAGTGAGGCTGCTTGATGGGCTTGTGATGCTGGACGTGCCCCTGGCTACAGCTGTCATGCCTGCCTGGGGCTTCCCTTGCTTTGGCCACAGGGATACTACCCACGGGAACTCAGCTTTCTCCCTGGATGAGTGGGACGCAGAGCATCTTCCTTCTCCCTTCATCCTCACACTTACCCATACTTGCAGTTTATTGGCTGCAACAGCCCTGTGGGTGTGGCAGGGCCCAGGTACCATCTTGGACCCAGGCCTTCTGCTTCCCGGTCCAGTGTCCTGGGCTTCTCCACTGCCTTTCCGTACTCAGGGCTCTTGCTGCGGTATCTTCACCAATTTAGAGCACCCTTGAAGAGGGAGCAGCCTCTGGCCATTCAGACAAGGGCTGTGGAGGGACATATCAGGGCACAGCAACCCATTTGGATGTTGACTTTCTTCTGCCCCTTGGCCCGTGCCTGTGGGAGTGGTGAGCTCTCATTGAAGGGTGAAGGAGTCACCCTTCTTGGCTTCTCAGTGCAAGAGGCTGGGGAAAAGCCACATTGTACTGGGAATTGCCCTTCCATCTGCACAACTACTTCTACATTTTCAGCTTGCCCTGAAAGCTTCCAGGCCTCAAGGGACTTTCTCCAGCCACATGAGCTTGGACTTTTCCTAGGGATCCTCATGGTATCCCAGGAGCTTGAGCAGCTGCCTCCTATCGGCAGCCCTCACCCCCAACTCCTGCCCAAAGGGGTGGGCTCTCTCCTCGCGAAAGGGCAAGTTGAGAACCCATGAGAGTGGCTGCGGTATCATATTGGGGTCCAACAGGTAGACTCAGTGTCCTTCTAGCCTGGAGATCCCTGGGCCCAACCCACCCCATTTCCTCATCCCCGGAGATGAGCAGGGTGGCTGAGAGCCCGTGTGTCTGCTTGTGGGTGCATTAAGGCCTCAAAGAGCAGGAAGCCCTGACTGTCGGGGTCGGGGGTGTGGAACAGTCATTTTGGGATAATCCGGGTTTTCCTATAATTCAAGATGCCCTTCTTCCATGAATGCTGCTCTCCTCTGAAGTCTGAGGACCTTAGGTTGAAGTCTTGGGCCCGGTAGCCTGTCCTGTGTGGCAGATGGGGCCCTGGAACAGGAACCTCTCAGACCACATGGCCAGAACCTCCTAAAAGACAGGACTGAGCTCTGACTAGAACACTCCTTGTGGGTTTTTGTTGTGGGATTAGGAAAGCCTTCACAGCAGAAGCCCACAAGAAATTTTCCAGTCCGAACCTTGGAGGGCAGGTTCAGGAGGGCAGAGGGAGTCAGCTCCAGTCCCGCGGTTGGGCCAGGTAGGAGCAGAAAGGACCATGGGGCTCGGGCTGGATGCGCTGCCTCCAGGTGGCCTGAATTCAGCTTTGCTTCTGCTGTTCTTCTGGCCACAGAAGCTGCCTGCCCACTGTTCCTTCCTGCCTGCCACTACTTCCCACACCCAGCAGGGTCCTGTGCCAGGCAACCATAAGATGGGAAGGGAAGCTGCTTCCCCCAGCTTTCTTCCTCTTCTCTTCTGAATAAGCTTCTAGAAATACCTGGGCTTCAGGAAGTCAGGGACGGCCTCACTGGGGCATAGGTGGGACCTGTATCCTGCAGCACCACGTGGAAATGGTGGCATGTGGGTATCCCAGATTGCTGAGGAGGGAGGGCCGGTTTATGATTTCTGACCCAGTGAGTCCAACTGTGGAAGGGGCCGCATTAGCCCCTGGGCTAGAGGTGTGGACTGCAGTTCCTCAGTCACAAAGTAGCACTCATTAGTCCCCACATAAATATGTGACTTCCTCCTGTAGCCACTGGGCTTCATAATCAGCATAGGCCTGACTGCCCCACCCTTAGCCCTGGGACTATCTTCCCACCCTCTTTGCCTAGGTAGCTACTCCTGAGCTGCGGGATCCAAGCTCAAATGCACCTTCTTCAGAGAGAAAGCTTGGGGTCCTCATTCTATGCTGTCAGAGCACTATGCAACTTTTCAAGCTAGTACTTGCCAAAGTTGTAATTTTGTACCTATTTGCATCTTAAAATTTTATTTATGAATAGGAAGTACTTTCACAAGCTTTAAACATAAATCATTGAATAAATTAAAATGTCTACAATACGACATCTCTTTCTACTTGTTCCTGATCCACTGTTTGTTTCAACCCCCAGTACAGGCAACCACAGTTACTAATTTCCTTTCAGCATTTTTGTTTTGTTTTTGCACACAGACAGAATGTGTAATCTGGAATCCCCTCTTTTCCACACAAAAGGTGGCATACTATGGAAACATTTTTTGCATCTTGCTCTGTAAACTTAATATCTCTTAGAGAATAGTGCATTCAGAGAGAGTTTCCTCATCCCTTTTGTAGCTGCACAGAATTATTATTATTTTAAATTTTTTTTGCGATGGAGTTTCACTCTTGTTACCCAGGCTGGAGTGCAATGGTGCGCTCTTGGCTCACGGCGACCTTCACCTCCCGGGTTCAATCAGTTCTCCTGCCTCAGTCTCCTGGATAGCTGGGATTACAGGTGCCTGCCACTACGCCCAGCTAATTTTTGTATTTTTCCTTTTTTAGTAGAGACAGGGTTTCACCATGTTGATCAGACTGGTCTCAAATGCCTGACCTCAGGTGATCTGCCTGCCTTGGCCTCCCAAAGTGCTGGGATTGCAGACATGTGCCACCGCGCCCGGCCTGCAGCTGCATAGAATTTTATCGAATGATTGTTTTAGAAATCAGTAGCCAGCTCTTATTGAAGGAATTAGATTTTTTTTATTCTTTGCTCTTCTGATTAAGCTTGTATGTATGCCATTTTACACCGTGCCAAGTATATCTGCGAGATAAATGGCCTGTTCAAAGGGTACGCGGATTTGTAACTTTGAAACTATCACCAAATTCCCCTCCATGGGAGCTGTACTGATGTATATATTTCCACCACTGACTATGGCCTTACCAATAAGGGTGGGAGAACAAACTTCTGGATTTTTGTCAGCTTGACAGGTGAAAAGTGGGTATCAGTTTTAGCTTTAATTTGCATTTCCTTTATTATGAGTAAGGTTAAGCATCTTCTTTTAATAAATTTCCTCTCCTGTGAACTGCTGTTCTCATCCTTTGCTCATTTTTCTTGTAGGTTTTTGATATCAATTTCTAAGAACTCTTATAAATTAGGAGGATGTAGCTCTTATCTGTGATATGAGTTACACATGTCCAGGTTATCGTTTGTCGTTTGGTTTTGCCTGTAGTGATATTCCCACGCCGATGCTTTTGATTGAATTGATCAATCTTTTCCTTCTGGATTTTGGATTTTGAGTTATTGAAAGCCCT